GGGGGGGGGACGACACCGAGGGGTACAACGAGCGACTGAAGCTAAAGGACAACGTTCCCGCAAGAACAAGTGGCTATAAACTGGCCCTGGACAAATTCAGGCTGGACGTTAGACGGTTTCTCACCATCCGCAGGGTGATCTTCTGGGACAGTCTCCCACTGGGAATTGCAGGGGGGCAAACAGCTGAATTAGTTGTAAGAAGGAGCTGGGCAAATGGCTGAGGGCCATTGTATGGCGGGGTTGCTTGGGAGGGTGGGGCGTGGGGCTTGACGTCCTGGGGCGGAGGGAAACACATTCCAGTTTCTTTCTTATGTTCTGAAGATCTCAGGCTTCAGGGCTCTGGCCAGTCGCCTGCAGGGGTCAGGAAGAAATCCCCTCCCCTGCCTGCCCAGTATATTCTGTTTGTTTTTCTCTCTTTCTTCTGGAGCATCGGGGATGGCCAAGCCAGAGATGGGACGCTGGCTGGGTGGGTGGCTGGGCCAGGGATCTGAGTTGGCACCAAAGATTCTTTCTCTCCGGTGCTCGGCTGGCTGGGTCTTGCTCATCTGCTTGAGGTCTAACTGATCACGGTATCCAGGAGGGAATTTTTTCCCAATTAGATCAGCAGCTGTGTTTATGGGGTTTTTTCACCTTCCTCTGCAGCATGGGGTGCGGGTCATTTGCCAGGATCATCCATCCTATCCTCTCCCTGTAGCACATAATAGTTTATGGCCTGTGCACTGTGATACTTCAGTCTGATTTCAGTTGTTGGGTTGGTGTGCGAGGCTTGATGGCCTGTGAGGTACAGGAACTCAGAGGAGTCCCTCCCTTCTGGCCTTCAACACTATGACTTTATATAATCAGGGGGTCTTTGGTGGAGAATTGAGCATGACAAAGAAATCAGGGTGATTTCATGGCGAATTCAGTGTGAGAAACACACATCAGGGGGATTTGGTGCAGATATCAGCAGGGGAGATGGAAATCAGGGATTCAGTGCAGTAATTCAGCATGCAAAACAGAAATCGGGGGGAATTGGGTGCACAATTCGGTGTGTTTGAAAGCAAAATCAGGTGTGTGATGCAGGATTCAGTGTCAGTGATGGGGGAAATCAGGGAATTTGGGTGCAGAATTCAGTAAGTGTGAAACAGAAATCAGGGGAATTTGGGTGCAGAATTCAATGTGTGATGTAGAAATGGGGATTTGGATGCAGAATTCAGTGTGTGAGACAGAAGGCAGGGGGAACAGGTGCAGAATCAAGCAGGTGACAGAAATCAGGGCAAGCTGATGCAGAATTCAGTGTGTGCAATACAGAAGTCAGGGAAATGCGATTCGGCTTACGTGCCGAATCCTGAGCACGTGCCATAGAAACCGGAGGGGAGGAGGAGGTTGGTTGTTGAGGCAGCGTTCAGCGTGGGCGAAGCAGAAATCAGTGGATTCTTCGAGCACGTATCCGGGTGGACCCCACGAGATCAGGCTCTTTTGGCCAGCAGTGCCCATTGTACCCTTGCCCAGCTGTAGACAAAGGGCAGAGCCAACCCAGCCAACCTCACCGTCCCTTCTCATTGCCTGGCGCAAAATAGCATTTAGCCCTGCCCGCCTAAGCCAGATGGGCAGGGCCCGTGGGGGGAGTTTGCCTTCTGGTCCAGCGTGGAGCACCGATGCCCTGCCGGGCTCAGCTGGGGGTGCGTCTCACCTTTGCAGGGACATCAGCCCCCCCCCCCCCCCCGTCTCTTGTGATCTGTGCCAGTTTAGTTAGCTGAGGGGTGAAAGGCTTTGGGTGTGGGACGCATTGCAGGAGGGGCTGAGTGAAATGGATGGGTCCGTGCTAGCCAGAGGGACAGGCTGGCTGGTTGAACAGGCCCTTTCTGGGCTTAAATGGGGTTCGTTTAAAATTATTCACCCCCACGGTCTCGGGGGAACCTGGGGTTCGGCCTCATGGCTGAGATGTAGGGGTTCGCTGTGCTGGGGAATACACAGCCACCAGACCAAAACTCCCCTCCCAGAGCTGGGGATAGAACCCAGGAGTCCTGGCTCCCAGCCCCCCAGCTCTAACCACTAGACCCCACTCCCCTCCCAGAGCCAGGGAGAGAACCCAGGAGTCCTTGCTCCCACTCCCCTCCCAGACCCAGGAAGCGAACCCCAGAGCCCTTGGCCGCTGCCCAGTGGCCCCTTGGTTCCCAGCTCAGCACTGGAGGAACCAGTCAAGGGTCCCTTGGTCCGGACTGTAGCCAGATGGGAATGGGGCTATGGCCCCGCCCCATTTCTCTAGCAGCGGGGAAGGCTGCCCCCTGCTGGCAGCCCCGGCACTCACCCAGCTCCACTGAGTGAGGAGGAGTCTTGATTTTTAACAGGGTCGGTTGTGGGGCTGGGAGCCAGGACTCCTGGGTTCTCTCCCCGGCTCTGGGAGGGGAGTGGGGGCTGGTGGGTTAGAGCAGGGAGAGCTGGGAGCCAGGACTCCTGGGTTCTCTCCCCGGCTCTGGGAGGGGAGTAGGGGCTGGTGGGTTAGAGCAGGGAGGGCTGGGAGCCAGGACTCATAGACTCAAAGGTCAGAAGGGACCATTATGGTCATCTAGTCTGACCTCCCGCATGATGCAGGCCACAAAAGCTGACCCACCCAATTTCCCTTATCTCAGCTGTTGAAGTCTCCAGATCGTGATTTAAAGACTTCAAGTCGCAGAGAATCCTCCAGCTTGCGACCCCTGCCCTATGCTGCGGAGGAAGGCGAAAAACCTCCAGGGCCTCTGCCAATCTACCTGGAGGAAAATTCCTTCCCGACCCCAAATATGGCGATCAGTAGAACCCCGAGCATACAGGCAAGATTCTCTAGCCAGACCCACATTTTACCAGCGATGGCACTTTATTACCTAATTGACTAAAATCATGTTATCCCATTAAACCATTCCCTTCTGTTATGAACTGGGCCAAACCTTCTTATGAGTTGAGTTAAAACCTCACTGTGATTGATAGGCATGAGTCCCCCTTTCAATTAACAGAACTGTAACCATAAATCAACCCCCAAGCCAAACACCTTCCCTAAGGGTGGGGTGTTATGGGAAGGGCACCCCACCCCCCAGCACCTGAGCCGGAGAAGAGGCTTGAGGCTGGCTGCTAAGCCCCAGCTCCTTTCATTCCTGGGGCTGCCTCTGGGGCGGCGCAGTTGGTTATGCAGGGACCTTTCACCTGGCACCAAGATGCAGCCACCTCTGGGGCAGGGCGGCTGGTTATGCAGGGACCCCTCGCCCGGCACTGAGATGCGGCCACCTCTGGGGCGGGGCGGACGGTTATCCGGGGACCCCCATGCCCAGCACTGAGATGTGGGCACCTCTGGGGCGGGGCAGCTGATTATCCAGGGCTCCCTCCCCTGGACAGTCGGCAGCACAGACAGACAGATGGACAGACAGCAGCTTGGGCGTTCTCAACAGGACATTTATTTATTGTACATTTTCACAGCATAAAGTCACTCCCCGTTCCCTCCACACGGTGCCTCGCCCCCCGCCTGCCGGGGAGCACGTGGGGGGGGGGGGCCCGCAAGACCGACCCCCCCTCCCTCCGGCTGGGTCTAGGGGAATCCAGCCAGCCCTGCCCCACCCCCATCCCAGGTGGCTTTAGAATTCGGGGGCGCTGGTCCCACCGTGGGGCACGGTGGGACCAGTGCCCCCAAAGCCGAGGGGCAGCAGTGACACCTGCCCCCTGGTCTGGGGAAAACACAGCCTGGGATCTGCCCCCCCCCCCCTTCCCCAGCAGCTCACAATCCACGCAGCCTGGTTGAAGGGACCCCCGGCCGTCCCACTGCCAAGCCAGCCTCATAGGGGGCAGGTGGGGGGCAGAGCTAGCCAGGTCCTCAGCTCCCGCGTTCCCTCCAGATGGGGAGCAGAGGACCTACCAGGCTGCCCCCCCCAAAACAGGCATCGTAGGGGACCCCGCGCCAACGTCCCTCCGAGCTGGCAGGGGGGGCCCCCGATCCACCCCCCCCGAGGGACACAGTCACACGTCACGTCTCCTAAGTGGGTGTGGGGGGGGGGATCGTGCTATAGGGGCTGGCGGGGGGAGGGGTCGTGCTATGGGGCTGTCTCGGAGCTGGGAGAGGTTTAGCGCTATGGGGCTAGCAGGGAAGGTTTAATGCTACAGATGATTGACTCTAGGGGCTGGGGGGTGGGGCAGGGAAAGGTGGGGGTCATTCATCACACGACACAGGGATGCAAAGCCGGGCAGGATCCCGGTGGGGTGGTGGGGGGATCCGGCCGGCCAGCACCCCCCAATCGTACCCTTCCCCCCCACAGCCCTACCCACTGCTTCCTCCATTGCAGAGCAGCTCAGGGTCACCCCCTGCTGGCCACCAGGGGAACCCCCCCACTAGGGGGTGGGGGAGGGGAATGCCCCATAGGTGCCCACACCCTGTCTGGGGGGCGGGAGGTCGCTGGCTCTGGGCTGCGCCAGCTTCTTTCCCCCCTCCTAGACAAGACTTACCCAGCCCCCCCCGCTATGGGATCACCCAGCCCCCCTTCCCCAGCCAGGCCTGGGCCCTGCTGCTGGGTGGGGGGCACTCTGGGGCCAGACAGTTAATGGGGAGCCAGCCTGCCCCACCTTGGGGCCTCTCTGGCCCCATCCCACCACCCCCAGATCCCCAGAGGAGAGAAGCTGGAACTGCTGGGCCATGGGGGAGGGGTGGATTTGGGGGCTCCCCCCCTTTCCCCATGCAACCCCCACTTTAAGACTCTTAAAGGGCTTAGAGCTGGGGGTGTGACACAGCACTGTCCCCTCCCCGACATGAGGTGGGGGGGCAGGAAGATCAACCCCCAAGCCCCCCCCCCCCCAAGACAGACTGCACAGAGGGCGCCAGGAGTGTTTTAAAAAACCCCACGGGGTCGGGGGGGGGGGGAAGAGGAAGGTAAAGAAACTCATGACATCCCCACCCCCAGGTGGTGTGAGATGCAACCGTCTCTGGGCCGGGGCAGCTGGTTATCCAGGGACCCCTCGCCGGGCGCTGAGATGCAACCGTCTCTGGGGCGGGGCGGCTGGTTACACAGGGACCCCTCGCCCGGCACTGAGATGCAGCCACCTCTGGGGCAGGGCGACTGGTTACACAGGGACCCCTTGCCCAGGTGCTGAGATGCAGCCATCTCTGGGGCAGGGCGGCTAGTTATACCAGTGCTGACATAGCCAAACCGGGGGACCCAGCGCTCACGCTGCCCGGCCTCACTCTGAAAGGGCAGGGGTGGGTGCTTGAGTTTCTCAGGCTTCTGGGTTCCCCCTATTTTATTTTTGGGGAAGGGGGATTGGTCCTTAAAATATTTAAATTAAAACACTAGACACTGAAAACACCAGGGGGGGGAGGGAGCAGGTATTGGGGGGCAGATCCATGACAGCTGGAAATCTAGTAATAAATCTACAAACAGACAAAATATAGAATATATATATATGTATAAATAAGTCAGCCTATATACAGGACGGCCACACGCACTGCAAGAAACGCACACACGCCACGGGGGGGGGGGCCCGGGGGGAAGGGGAAGGGGGGGGGGGGGTGGGAGAAAAGGGGGGGGGCAAGGGGGGGGGGGGGGGGTCGCAGCCCCTCGCGCCTCTCCCGGCCGCAGCTCCTTTGGGGGGAGGGAGGGGGGGCTTTGGCTTCCAAGGGTCCATTAAGTGCTGAAGTAAACTAGAAAGGAAAGAGAGACGGGAGCAGAGAGGAGTTAGTTCAAGATGCGGCTGCCTCTGGGGCGGGGCGGCTGGTTACACAGGGACCCCTCGCTTGGTGCTGAGATGTAGCCACCTCTGGGGTGGGGCGGCTGGTTACACAGGGACCCCTCGCTTGGCACTGAAATGCAGCCACCTCTGGGGCAGGCTGATGGTTATACAGGGACCCCTCGCCCGGTGCTGAGATGCAGCCACCTCTGGGGAGCAAGGGCAGCCTAAGAGCCCTACGGGAAGCACCACAGTTTAGGACAGGAAGTGGGGCTTTCTTCCCAGCGAAGAGGAAGTCTCCCTGTTTAGCCCAATTGGATGTTAACCCTGGAACCTAATGATGGTGGCTGATGTTTACAGGGAGACTGGATGGGAGGGGGAGAGGGGGCAGGTGACATTTGGGGATGGGACATTTCTGTTGCTTCATTCTGATGGGTGCCATCACCTTCATCCCAAGAATAGGGGCTCAGGGGGAAGAATAGGGGGGGATGACGGGACCCAGCAGACTCCAACAGCTGGAGAAGGGGAAGTCCAGGGAGCGAGGGAAGGAAATTTCAAGCCATCCAGGTCTAACCTGGCTCCTTTATGGTAAGGCTATTTGCCACCATGTGGGCGGGGCCACAGAAAGCCACACCCCTTCCCAATAACCCTTTTCCTGTTTCACCCCACAGGGTCCAGGTGCGGTTGTGGGTGGGGCCTCACAAGCCACACCGTTTCCCAATAACCCTTTGCCTGTTTCACAGCTGTACTAGGGGTGTCTGTGGGCAGGGCCAAGGAAAGCCCCACCCCCTCAAATACCTTGTTTCTGCACTATTGGCTGGACTGTGTAGGTGCTGTGATGGGCGGGGCCAGTGGGGTGGAAAAAAGCTCCACCCCCTTTATTTCTGCACTAAGGGGAGAGTGGTGGGTGGGGTCTCTGTGTGGGCGGGTCCAAGGAAAGCCACACCCCTTCCAATAACCCTTTGCTGCCCTCTTTAGGGGTGGCTGTGGGTCTGTATGTGGGCGGGGCCAAGGACAGACCAGCGTCCTCATTGCCACACCCCCATGACAGGTGCCCGGCTGTCTTTCCCACATCCCAAGAGAAGGTGGGAGCGTCCCTAGGGAAGGGGGTGGGGGTCACATAGCCACCCCCCTCCCCACCAGCCCCCCTCCCCCAAGCCCCCACTCACCAATGATAATGATCAAGATGATGGCGCATATCACCCCCAGGATAATCATCATCTGTGGGGAGAGAGACCATGAGCGTCGGGGTCGCGGGAGGAAGGTGGGGGGCAGAGGCTTGGGGCCAGGAGGGGAGCCCTGGGGGAGGGCAGGGGGTCAGAGGGAGCCAGGAAGGGCAGCTATGGGGCAGAGAGTGGCAGGGATGAGGAAGATGTTATAGGGAGGGTTGTAGGAGGCCGTGGGGAGACAGGGAGCTGTGTGTGTGTGGGGGGGATACAGGGGTCCACAGGGGACTGTGGGGAGACGGGGGGGCTGCAGGGGGCCATGGGGGGAGTCAGTGAGGAGACAGGGGGCCGTGGGGGGGAGACGAGGGGACCGTGGGGACTGCAGAGGACCATGGGGACTGCAGAGGGCCGTGGGGAGACGTGGGGGGAGATGGGGGGCCACGGGGTCGTGGGGAGACGAGGGGGCCACAGGGGTGCCATGGGGGCTGCAGGGGGAGTCAGTGGGCTGCAGAGGGCCGTGGGGAGATGTCAGTGGGCTACAGGTGGTCGTGGAGAGACAGGGAGCTGTGGGGGGGAGACGGGGGGGCCACAGGGGGCCGTGGGGACTGTAGAGGGCCATGGGGAGCCGGGGCGTCGCATGGAGAGATGGGGGGCCGCGGGGGGGGGGAGCCGGGGGGCCGCACCTTGAGGTTCTTCCACCAGTACTTGCGCTTTAGCTTGGCGGCGCTGGTCTCGAACTGGGAGGCGCCGGCCTGCAGGGCGTCGGCTCGGTCGTCCAGCTCCGACAGCTTCTGGTCCCGCTCCAGCACCTTGTCCACGTTCACCCGCATGATGTCAACCACCTGCGGGGGGGGTGGGGGGGGCAGGGGGAAGCGTCAGACACAGGGAGACCCGGCCAGAGAAGGGACCCAGGTGTCCGGAAGCCGCATGCCACCCCCTGAACTCACCTCGTCCACCTGGGCTTGGGTCTGCTGCAGCCTCCGGTTGCTGGTGAGGTTGGGGGGGGGTGGTGGGGGGCCACCCCCTTCTCCTCCAGCGGCGGGGGGCGCGGCAGCGGGGGCCGACCTGGGGGGCAGAGGGCAACGGTCACGGCGACCCCGCAAAGAAGAAATAGTCCCGAACAGAGCCAGCCTCAGTGGGCACTGCCCCTAGCTTTCACCCCATAGCCCCTCACTCCCGCCCATATCCCCCCTCTGCATTGCCAGCGCCCCTCGATCCTATTCCATAGCCCCTCACTCCCACCCCATAGCACCCCTCTGTGCTGCCAGCGCCCCTCGATCCTACCCCATAGACCCTCAATCCCGCCCCATAGTTGCCCCCAGCAATGCCAGTGCCCTTCAATCCTTCCCATAGACGCCCTCCACTCCTGGACTACCAGTACCCCATAATCCTGCCCCATAGCCAGCCTCTCCCCGCAGCCTCCCCAGTGCCACAGGTGCCCCTCTATCCTGTTTTTTTGGGCAGGGGGGGACCTGTGGGGGCAGCACCGGGGAATGAACCCCTAGAATTTATCCCCGCCGGGCAGACGCAGGCTGCGATCAGCTGGGTAACGACCCAAACCCAGTGCCAGGGAGAGATGCAAACGGGGGCTGCACTGGGGAGGGCTCTGGGAGGGGAGCGGGGTCCAGTGGTTAGAGCAGGGAGGCTGGGAGCCAGGACTTCTGGGTTCTCTCCCCGGCTCTGGGAGGGGAGTGGGGGTGAATGGTCAGAGTGGGGGGACTGGGATCCAGGATTCAACTTTCAGGCGGGAAGGGCCCATCAGACCAGCCCCAGAGACACCCCCCCGGGGGGCCGGGAGGGGATTTGCCCCGGCTGCGGCATGGGTGAGCCCGCGACCAGCCCCTGCTTCCAACGCGGGCAGCGGGCGGGCGGGGGGGGGCAGTTTTCCCAAAGGACACCCTAGAGCGGGGCAGAGAAGAGCCCCAGAACCGAGCCGAGCCGGGCCGTGACGGCATCTGGGGAGCGTCTCTGGGAGGACTGGCCTGCGGAGGAAATCCCGGGGGCGCCGGACACGAACGGGCCCCAGTGTTTAACCGGGAAGGGGAGGGACCCTTGGAACAAGCTGCCCGGGGCAGAGGGGGGCTGCTCCAGTGTTCGGATCCAGCCGGGAGGCCTGTCTGGAAGGCGCGTTAGCCAAACCCAAGTTACCGGCCTCCCTCCAGGGGGAGATTCTCTGGCCTGGGTGAGCCAGGAGTCCTGGGTCCCAGCCCCCCCTGCTCTAACCCACCAGCCCCCTCTGCCCTCCCAGAGCCAGGGAGAGAACACAGGAGTCCTGGCTCCCAGCGCCCCCACTCCGCAGCACATAGGGAAGGGAAATTCGCTCTGTTTTATACTGTACTAACGTTTTTGTTGCCTTGCAATGCCCCAGCTCAGAAACACCATCCTACAGCGTCCTTGGGGGCGTGTGCAGACACCCCCCAGGGCCCTGGAGCGTCTATGGGCAGACAATCCCCAGCTGTAGGGGGCTGGGGTCATCAGGAGAGGGATAGGCGGCCGCCCCTGCTAGAGAAGGGGGTTGGGGGGCAGTGAGATCGGCCAGTCCCCCCCCAACACACACACAGCTCTTGGGGGGGCCCCAAACAGGCACAGCCCCCCCCCCCCAAACACACGGCCAAAGACCCACAGCAGCCCTGCAGCTCGTCCACTGCAGGCCAGGGAGGGACCCCAGAGCCAGGACTCCTGGGTTCTCTCCCCCGTCTCTGGGATTGGAGTGGGGTCTGAGGTGGGGAGGGGTGGGACCACCGCCTTGCCCTGCCCCAATGCTCTATGCCCCTCCAACCTGCCCAGGGCCCTGCCAGTCTCACATCCCAACCCCCACGCCCCACTGCTGCCCCTTCTTCCATCCATCCCCCTCTTAATCCTCCGGCCCCTGCCAGCCCCACATCCTACACCCCCCACTGCTGCCCTGTCCTCCATCCAGCCCCACATCCCAACCCCCACGGCCTACTGCTACCCTGTCCTCCATCCATGCCCCACATCCTATGCCCCCCACACACACCCCACTGCTGCCCTGTCCTCCATCCATTCCCCAACCAGCCCCACATCCTACCCCCCCCCACCCCACTGCTGCCCTGTCCTCCATCCATCTCCCAGCCCCACATCCTACGCCCCAACCCGGCTCACACCATTCTCCGTCTGTTTCTTTGTGACCTTCCCGTCTCCTCTAAAAATAAAAAACGACCCCCCCACCTCCCCGAAAATCCCAGACGGTGGGGGGCTGGGCTACAACTGGCCACGCGGCCTTCACATCGGAGGCTGGGGGGCTCTGCAGAACTGTGGGGGGGGACTGCCTCCCCACTGGGAAAGCAAAACATGTGTGTGTGTGGCGGGGGGCGGGGGGAGAGAGCCGGGCTGCCAACGAGCGGCCATGTTCAGCGTCATCCTGCCGCCGGAGCTAAAAATACCCAGCAGGAGAAATGGGGGCGCAGCCCCCCCGATCCTTGTATTGGGGGGCCTCGGATGCCCCCTGTCTATGGGGGGGATTGGGGACCCACCCAGAAATTCAGCTGGGCTGAGGCTCTTTTTAAACCCAGCATCCCCCGATGGGTGGGGGGCCCCCCCTGCATGACATGAGCGGGGGGGAGGGGGATTTCAGCTGCCTGGATCTGCTGGGGTGGGGGGTGGGAAGCGGGAGTGATGCTAGTTTTAAACCCACTTCCCCATGGCTGGTTCCTGCCCTCTCCTGCTGCCCCCCATCCCCCTCTGCTCCCCATCCCAGGCTCCCGCTCCCTGCCCCTCCCCCCCTGCTCCCCATCCCAGGCTCCCACCCATCCCCCTCTGTCCCCCCCGCAAGACTCCCGCCCCACCCGACAAGCCCCTGCCCCCCATCACAGGCTCCCCCCATAGCCCTGGGCCCCTACCCCCCATTCTTCTCTCTCCAGCCCTCCCTCTGCCCCTTTGCAGGGGGTCCCCCAACCCAGCCCCCTGGCACCCACTCTCTTTTGTGCATGGCAGCAAACGCAGCCAGGGGCACCCCTGGGTCCTTTCTTTGCAACCGGGCTTTGCTGGCGCGGGTGCCATAGGGTGTGATGGGACCCCCCCGCGGGTGGGGCAGGAAGAATGCGGCTAGCTGATGCATGGGGGGGCGGGGGGGTAATGCAAGCAGAGGTACATTGCAAGCGATCGATCTCCTTGCTATCGATCCCCTAGTCCCGTCCCTGCCCTTGCCTGGCTGCACCCAGCCCCAGGGGCCCTGGCTTTTGGGAATAAGCCCCCCAAATGCGGGAACGGGCAAGGAGATCACCCGTGCACCCGGGGCCATGCATCATCCCACGCCAGAGCCTATTTTTCTCTCTGCCCTGAGGATGCCCCTACCCCTGCTTTGCAGAGGCCGGCCACGGGAGGGTGGGTAAGCCATCTTCCCAGCGGGGGAGCCCGGATCTCGGGTGCACACCCCAGCCCTGGCTTTACGGAGACCATCCACGGGAGGGTGGATAAGCGCCCTTCCCCTGTGGGGACTGGGGGGGTACCCCGGATCTCGCGTGCACCCCGCTTTATGCAGCCTGGAGAGCATTGCACGCTATTTAGCTCCTTGCATTGAGAACACCCCAGCTTGGCTTTACCGAGCCCATCCACTGGGAGGGTGAATAAGCCCCCTTCTCTTGACAGAGGGACCCCGGATCTTGCGTGCACCCCGCTTTCTGCAGCCTGGGGAACATTGCACGCTATTTAGCTCCTTGCACCCATCATGCCCCTGCCTTACTGAGACCATCCATTGGGAGGGTGGATAAGCCCCCTTTCCCTGCGGGGGCGAGGGGAAAGGGCCCGGATCTCGCATGCCCCCAGGTTTATGTAGCCCGCGGGGCATTGCACGCCCTTTACCGCCTTGCATTGAACAGTCGTCCCCCCCCCCATTTTGCTGAGCCCCGGGGTCGGCGGAGCCCCCAGCCCCTGCGGGAGCGGCGAGCCCGGCTCTGGCATGCACCCGAAGCGATGCAGCCCGGGGACCATTGCACGCTGCTTCCCTTCTTGCATCGGGGGCTACTCACATGTCGGGAGCGGCGGCGGCGCGGGCCGGGGTCTGCGGCGGGGCGGGCGCTCGGCGAGTGGCGCGGGTCCCTGTGCCGGGGGGGGGAGGAGGGCGGCCGGGCTGGCGCATCCGGGCACCTGGGCGGGTGAGGGGGGGCAGGAGGGGGAGCTGCTGGGCCCGAGCCCTCTGCAGTCAGCGCGGGGGCGGGGTAGCGCGCGGGGGCGGGGCCACTCGGGGCAGGGGAGGGCAAATAATGGGGGGGGGGGGGCAGCAAGGGGGGGGATAGAAGGGGCAGATGAAGGGGGCGGGACAGATAAAGGGGAGGGGCAGCAAGGGGGCTGTTAGAAGAGGGGCAGATGAAGGGGGCGGGGCAGATAAAGGGGAGGGGAGGGGAGGGGATAGAAGAGGGGCAGATAAAGGGGGCCAACAGAAGAGGGGGCAGATAAGGGATGCCAGGGGCAGACAAAGATTGGAAAGGGGCATGGGGAAACAAGGGGGGGGGAATCAGGGAGATGGGGGCCAGTAGAGGGCAGATAAAAAAGGGAGGGGGCAACAAGGGACCAAGGGGGCCAATAAAGGGCCCTGTCAGTCCTATTCTACCCCTCCTCCCCCCAGGTGCGATGCTGGGATGGGGGGCAGGAGGTGCCTGGCCCCCTGCGGCCGTGGGGCTGGGTCAGTCCCCTACACACAGACCAGGCCCGAGGGATTCCCCCCACCCCGAGCTGAGGCTGATGTTGGGGGGAGGAGATGGGGCAATCGGGGTGAGAAGAGGCTCCGCCCCCACGCCTGCCCCCCAAGCCAGCAGGCAGCTGGGGGCCCATGTTCGACTCGTGGGGAGCCAGGCAGCCGAGGGCACTGCTGTGCCCCAGCAATGGCTGCATATCAGGGCTGGGGGCATGAAAGGTGTGGGAGAGCACCCCCTGCTGTGTCCCTGCCCTACAGCACTCCCTGGTGCTCTGGGGCCAGCCCTGCCTGCCAGGGGAGAGCGCCCTCTGCTGAGCCCCCCGCCCCACAGCGCCCCCTAGCGCCCCCCTGCGGCCAGCCCTGCTGCCAGGGGAGAGCACCCCCTGGTGTGTCCCTGCCCCCCAGTGCCCCCCCACCTGCTGGGGAGAGCGCCCTCTGCTGAGCCTGCTCCCTGCCCCACAGCGCCCCCGAGCGCCGCGCTAGGGCCAGCCCTGCCTGCCAGGGGAGAGCACCCCCTGCTGCTCCTGCCCCACAGCACCCCCTAGCTCACCAAGTCCCCCGGCTCGCAGCAGAGGACCCAGAGGGTGAAGAGGATGGTGCTGGTGCTATTGACCTCCGGGATAGTGTCCAGGTAGCTCTCCACCCTGCTCCCTGCCCCACAGTGCCCCCTAGCACCGCCCTGGGCCATTAGGGCCCCTGCTCCGCTCCCAGCAGCGCAGCGCCCCCTATGAACCATGGGGGGGGTGCAAGCAGCAGGAGCTGGGTTGGGGGGGACATCAGGACAGGTCGTATTGGGAAATCCAGGGCCCGTGGAGGGCAACTGGGGTTTGGGGAAGCAGAAGGGGGGGGGTTAAAGGCTGGAGACGAAGGCTGCTGAGCCCCCCCCCCCCCCCCCCGGGGATCCCAGCTCTGCGGGCCCAAAGCTGCCCCTCCCCCAACACAGACAGACGCAAGAGGACCCCACGGCAAAGTAACTCCAAATTTTATTAAAAGGAGGGCAGGGGGCATGCCGCCTCCCACGGGGACATTTAAAACAGGCCAGGCCGGGGCATGCCCCCGCCCCGTGGCACATGGGCAGGAAAGGAGAGGGGGGGCAGGGACCTGCTGCCCCTCTGGGCGTAGGTGGGGGCTAGCCCGACAGCTGGGAAGGTGGCCACAAAACCCTCCAGGGTCAGGGACTGACAGCCGCACCTTTATTTACAGGCCCGAGCGGGTGTGTCGGCCCCGTGCCCCCTGCCCGGGACTGGCCGAGGGGGGGGGGGGGGGGGGGGCCCTCCCGGGGGGGGGGGGGGGGGGGCGGGAACTCCCCCCCCCCCCCGTGAGGGATGAAAGAGGCCGCGGGGCAGGGCTAGTTGGCAGGAGTGGGGTTGAAGACGGGCGGCAGCACCCGCCGGGAATTGGCCTTCACCCAGGGGTGCTCCAGCACGGCCCGCAGTGGCAGCCGCTCCGCAGGGTTGTGGCGCAGCAGCTTGGCGATCAGGTCCCGGGAACCTTCCGACATGAACGGCGGGAACTGCAGATCCACCTGCCGGGGGCACGCAGAGTCAGAGAGAGCCCAGACGCCTGGGTTCTATCCCCGACTCGGGGAGTGGAGCTCGGGGTTAGAGCAGGAGGGGCTGGAAGCCAGGACTCCTGGGTTCTCTTCTCTGCTGTGGCCCCTTTGCACCCGCCTTCCCCCTTGAAGCTGGGGTAACGCCCTCAGCCTGGAGCTCATGACTGAGGTGTCCAGTTGTGAGGGGCGAGAGCACAGATCATCCCAGACTTGGGGGACCCCTCCTAGGGATGCCAAAGGACTAGTGGCCCCCTTGGCCGAAACCCACAGCAGCAGCCCTAGGGTGATGGGATTGCCTGTGCGGCCTCCCACAATGTGCCGTGAGTTATTCTGCCACATCTCTGGGGCGGGGCAGCCGGTTACTCGGGGACCCCTTGCTCAGCGCTGAGATGCAGCCATCTCTGGGGCAGGGCGGCTGGTTACACAGGGACCCCTCACTCGGCGCTGAGATGCAGCCAGCTCTGGGGCGGGGCGCCTCACCTTGGTGATGCGGCGATATGTCTCCGTGTGGGTGGAGCTCTCGAAGGGCGGCTGCCCCACCAGCAGCTCATAGCACAAGACCCCAATGCACCATAGATCCACCTTCTCGTCATGCGTCTTGCCCTCGATCATCTCGGGAGGCAGGTAATCGAGCGTGCCACACATGGTCCTCCGCCTGTGGGGGAGCGGTGCGGTGTGAGTGCCAAGCTGAGGATGGGGCAGGGACACCCCCCGCCCCTCCGCCACGCCCCCGGCCGGCTCTCACCTCAGCGAGGGCGCGTGCACAGACCAGCCGAAGTCGGCGATCTTGAGTTCGCCCTTGAGGCCCATGAGGAGATTTTCCGGCTTGATGTCACGGTGAATCACCTTCTTGGCGTGGCAGTAGATGAGCGCGTCAGCGAGCTCCTCCATGAACTGCGGGGCAGAGCGCGGGGGGGTCAGGGGGCTGGGCCAGCACAAACCCCCCATTTCCCCCCTAAAATCCAAGCTTTTCAAAAACACTTCGGAGGCAGAAAAAGGCCTTTGAAACAAGGAAAATCCCCACTTGTTTCCACCCGCCCCCTGCGCCCCCTTCTTACTGCCCCTGAAAAACAGGGGCGCACAGGTTAAAAATAAATGTTCGGGGGGAAAAAAAAATCAATAAGTTCCTCCGCCTGCAGCGGAAAACGTTAAATTACATTCTACTCCCCACAGCACAGCACCCCCTAGCGCTGCCCTGGGGCCAGCCCTGCCTGCCAGGGGGGGCCAGCCCCCTGCTGCCTCTGCCCCGCTCCCTGCCCCACAGCGCCCCCTAGCGCCGCCCTGGGGCCAGCCCCGCCTGCCAGGGGAGAGTGCCCCCGCCCCTCTCCCTGCCCCACAGCTCCCCCCTAGTGCCGCCCTGGGGCCAGCCCTGCCTGCCAGGGGAAAGCGTCCCTGATGAGCCCCCCCACCCCGCTCCCTGCCCCACAGCGCCCCCTAGCGCTGCCCTGCCTGTCAGGGGAGAGCACCTCCTGCTGAGCCCCCCCGCCCTGCCCCACAGCGCCCCCTAGCGCCACCCTGGGGCCAGCCCTGCCTGCCAGGGGAGAGTGCCCCCTGCTGATTGGGAAACTGAGGCAATAGAGAGAGGAAGTGACTTGCAGAAGGGCACCCAGTAGGCCAGGAGAGGGCCGCAACCACTAGCCCCCACTCCCCTCCAGAACCAGGAAAAGAACCCAGGAGTCCTGGCTCTCAGCCCCCCCCCCCCCCCGCTTTAACCCACTAGCTCCCACTCCCCTCCCAGAGCTGGGGAGAGAGCTCAAGACTCCAAGGAGGAGGCGTGCTAGCAGAGACGGGCTCCACCTAACGAAGAGAGGGAAGAGCATCTTCGCAAGCAGGCTGGCTAACCTAGTGAGGAGGGCTTTAAACTAGGTTCACTGGGGGAAGGAGACCAAAGCCCTGAGGTAAGTGGGGAAATGGGATACCGGGAGGAAGCACGAGCAGGAGAGTAAGCAAGAGGGGAGGACTCCTGTCTCATACTGAGAAAGAGGGACGATCAGCGAGTTATCTTAAGTGCCTAGACACAAACGCAAGAAACCTGGGAAACAATCAGGGAGAACTGGAAGTCCTGGCACAGTCAAGGAACTATGACGTGATTGGACTAAGAGAGACTTGGTGGGATAACTCACATGACTGGAGTACTATCATGGATGGATATAAACTGTTCAGGAAGGACAGGCAGGGCAGAAAAGGTGGGGGAGTTGCATTGTATGTAAGAGAGGAGTATGACTGCTCAGAGCTCCGGTATGAAACTGCAGAAAAACCTCAGAGTCTCTGGATTAAGTTTAGAAGTGTGAGCAACAAGGATGATGTCATAGTGGAGTCTGCTATAGACCACCAGACCAGGGGGATGAGGTGGACGAGGCTTTCTTCCGGCAACTAACAGAAGTTACTAGATCGCAGGCCCTGGTTCTCATGGGAGACTTTAATCACCCTGATATCTGCTGGGAGAGCAATACAGCGGTGCACAGACAATCCAGGAAGTTTTTGGAAAGTGTAGGGGACAATTTCTTGGTGCAAGTGCTGGAGGAACCAACTAGGGGCAGAGCTCTTCTTGACCTGCTGCTCACAAACGGGGAAAAATTAGTAGGGGAAGCAAAAGTGAATGGGAACCTGGGAGGCAGTGACCATGAGATGGTCGAGTTCAGGATCCTGACACAAGGAAGAAAGGAGAGCAGCAGAATACGGACCCTGAACTTCAGAAAAACAGACTTTGACTCCCTCGGGGAACTGATGGGCAGGATCCCCTGGGAGAATAACACAAAGGGGAAAGGCGTCCAGGAGAGCTGGCTGTATTTTAAAGAATCCTTATTGAGGTTGCAGAACAAAGCATCCCGATGTGTAGAAAGAATAGTAAATATGGCAGGCGACCAGCTTGGCTTAACAGTGAAATCCTTGCTGATCTTAAACACAAAAACGGAGCTTACAAGAAGTGGAAGACTGGACAAATAACCAGGGAGGAGTATAAAAATATTGCTCAGGCATGCAGGAGTGAAATCAGGAAGGCCAAATCACACTTGGAGTTGCAGTTAGCAAGGGATGTTAAGAGTAACAAGAAGGGTTTCTTCAGGTACGTTAGCAACAAGAAGAAAGTCAAGGAAAGTGTGGGCCCCTTACTGAATGAGGGAGGCAACCTAGTGACAGAGGATGTGGAAAAAGCTCATGTACTCGATGCTTTTTTTGCCTGTCTTCACGAACAAGGTCAGCTCCCAGACTACTGCACTGGGCAGCACAGCATGGGGAGAAGGTGACCAGCTCTCTGTGGAGAAAGAAGTGGTTCGGGACTATTTAGAAAAGCTGGATGAGCACAAGTCCATGGGGCTGGATGCGCTGCATCCGAGGGTGCTAAAGGAGTTGGCGGATGTGATTGCAGAGCCATTGGTCATTACCTTTGAAAACTCATGGCGATCGGGGGAGGTCCCGGATGACTGGAAAAAGGCTAATGTAGTGCCCATCTATAAAAAAGGGAAGGAGGAGGATCCGGGGAACTACAGGCCAGTCAGCCTCACCTCAGTCCCTGGAAAAATCATGGAGCAGGTCCTCAAGGCATCAATTCTGAAGCACTTAGAGGAGAGGAAAGTGATCAGGAACAGTCAGCATGGATTCACCAAGGGCAAGTCATGCCTGACCAACCTAATTGCCTTCTATGAGGAGATAACTGGCTCTGTGGATATGGGGAAAGAGGTGGACGTGATATACCTTGACTTTAGCAAAGCTTCTGATATGGTCTCCCACAGTGTTCTTGCCAGCAAGTTAAAGAAGTATAGGCTGGATGAATGGACTATAAGGTGGATAGAAAGCTGGCTAGATCGTCGGGCTCAACGGCTCCATGTCTAGTTGGCAGCCGGTATCAAGCAGAGTGCCCCAAGGGTCGGTCCTGGGGCCGGTTTTGTTCAATATCTTCATTAATGATCTGGAGGATGGCGTGGACTGCACCCTCAGCAAGTTTGCAGATGACACTGAACTGGGAGGAGTGGTAGATACGCTGGAGGGTAGGGATAGGATACAGAGGGACCTAGACAAATTAGAGGATTGGGCCAAAAGAAACCTGATGAGGTTCAACAAGGACAAGTGCAGAGTCCTGCACTTAGGACAGAAGAATCCCATACACTGCTACAGACTAGGGACCGAATGGCTAGGCAGCAGTTCTGCGGAAAAGGGCTAGGGGTTACAGTGGACGAGAAGCTGGATATGAGTCGACAGGGTGCCCTTGTTGCCAAGAAGGCTAACAGCATTTTGGGCTGTATAAGTAGGGGCATTGCCAGCAGATCGAGGGACGTGATCATTCCCCTCTATTCGACATTGGTGAGGCCTCATCTGGAGTACTGTGTCCAGTTTTGGGCCCCACACTACAAGAAGGATGTGGAAAAATTGGAAAGAGTTCAGCAGAGGGCAACAAAAATGATTAGGGGGCTGGAGCACATGACTTATTAGGAGAGGCTGAAGGAACTGGGATTGTTTAGTCTGCAGAAGAGAAGAATGAGGGGGGATTTGATAGCTGCTTTCAACTACCTGAAGGAGGGTTCCAAAGAGGATGGATCTAGACTGTTCTCAGTGGTAGCAGATGACAGAACAAGGAGCAATGGTCTCAAGTTGCAGTGGGGGAGGTTTAGGTTGGATATTAGGAAACACTATTTCCCTAGGAGGGTGGTGAAGCACTGGAATGGGTTACCTAGGGAGGTGGTGGAATCTCCTTCCTTAGAGGTTTTTAAGGTCACGCTTGACAAAGCCCTGGCTGGGATGATTTAGTTGGGGATTGGTCCTGCTTTGAGCAGGGAGTTGGACTAGATACCTCCTGAGGTCCCTTCCAACCCTGCTATTCTATGATTCTATGACTCCTAGCTCCCAGCCCCCTCTGCTCTAACCATTAGACCGCACGCCCCCCTCAGAACCTGGCAGAGAACCCAGGCGTCCTGACTCCCAGCCAGTACTCTCCCCATAGACCATGCCACCCTCACAGCCAAGGTGGAGATGGCACGTGCCAGGCCTGTATCTAACAGGGGTCTGCAGCCCCCATCTGCCCTTGCCTCCGGCCTGGGGGGCGCTGCACACTCACCGTGGCGGTCTTCTGCTCGTCAAACTGCCGGCACTTCTGCAGCTCCTTGTAGAGCTCGCCGCGGGGCGCGTACTCCAGGATCAGGTAGACCCGCTTCTTGTCGTGGAAATAGTTGTAGAGGCGCAGGATGTTGGGGTGTCTGCGGACCAAAGGCGGGGGGCAGTGAGAGCCAGGCCTGAGCACGGAGAGTGCCCCCTGCCCATGGCACAGTGGCCACTAGGGAGCCCCCAGCCCACTCCCTACGAGGCTGCTCAGGGAGGGCCGGAGTCAGTGTCAGATCAAGGGGCAGGGCAGCTGGGGGGGGGGGGGTCTCCCCTCCCAATGGGGGGGCAGCACTCTTCCCTGCCCCAGAACCCCCGCCAGAGAGACCCCCACATGCACGGCCTGGGACATCGGTTACTGAGGGGGTGTCGTGGGGGTGCCCCAGCTGGCCCCTCCCAGGGCAGGACGACCCCCCCAGACTGGTCCAATCCACAGCTTCAGGGCTGCACCCGGGACACCCCCACCCCAAGGGGCTTCCTCCTCCTCTCTGCTTCCCGATCTCCTGGGTCCCTTATCTGCAGGCCAGGCTTCAGGGGCCCCCCACCAATCCCTTCCCAGGGTCGCGCCCCCAGCCAGGACCCTGCCCCACACGGTGCCCCCTGGAGGTGCCCGCATTGAGTCTACCCAACCCCGCCCACGCACAGCCCCACCCACTGGAGATGGGACTGGATCTCGATCTCCCGCCGCAGCTGGTGCTCCACGCCCTCCTTCTCCATCTGCGACTTGAAGAGCACCTTGAGCGCCACGATGAACCGGGACGCCCGCTCTCGGGCCAGGTACACGTTCCCGAACTTCCCCTTGCCCAGCGGGCGCCCGATCTCAAAGTCATTGATGGTAAAGACTCGCCTGGGGGGGCGGGGGGGGTTAGAGTTGGGGGGTGCAGAACAGGATGCCAAGGGACAGCAGGGGATTTGTACTCCCCCAGATCCCCC